TTTTTTTCATTAATCAGTACATAACTTTCTGTCTGAATGTAGAATTTTAGACATTAAATCTGATGTTTTCAGGGTTCTGCCCTCTGCTTGGGTTTATTTTTAGGTTCTGTTTCTTTGTAGTTTATTTCTACCGGTGCTGAGTTCTTTAGTTACTCTCTGCTGCCCCCTGGTGCTTGTTTTCCTTTCCCTTTGGCTTCCTTCTAGTTGTCCTGCCCACACCTGCTCCCAATCTGCTGATTAGCCTGTCTTGGTTATATAATCCACCTCTGCAGTCACTCAGTGCTGGTTTGTTTTCCCTTGTCTCTGGCTTCCCACGTGAGTTTCCCCTGAATCTTATTTTCGGTTCTCAATATTTGGGATTTCTGTATTTCTGCCGCAAATTTCCAAGACTCACCTGGGCATACATTTAGGGTATCAAACCCACCTCTGCTAACATGCAAGGCTGGATGCCGCTAGGAAATGAATGAGGCCTGCTCTTAGATATAGATGAACACTTGAGCATAAATACAGCTTAATTTATAATGTATATGTTTTAGTAACCATGCTCCTCTGGCCTGAATTATCCACACTGCAAACCTAGGAAAATGTTGTTAGTATGTAAAAAATGTGGCCCATAAATTTCACCACAATCAACAGATTAGAAAAACCCTTTCAGAGAATTTAATGTCACTGTTGGATGAAACAAAAAGGCTTTGCTTTCTACTTCTACCTGTTTTCTCTGTCCTACGTTCCCCCCTGGAATCGGCCAGAATAAAATGTTTAGACTTAGCTGTGATTTGTTTCTATTTATCACAAGTAGCTCAGCTCAGTCACTAGTCACTAATCCTTTTTTAAGTTTTAGAATCTCTCACACAACTAGCTTAGAAAATTTTTTTTTTATTTCAATTTAATGTTGAGCACGACAAATGCACTGCATTATAAAGTATGAATCAGACTTAAAATGGAAACTTTTTTCATAAAAAGTCAGCTTGGCCTCTGCCCCTCTGAAAGGCTGAGAAATTAATCCCCCAGAGTGACTTTCTGGATTTTTTTCTTATTTTCTGTTAATGACATAGAAACATTAGATAAAAGTGTTAAAAGCTTCTCATTCAATGAGTTTTCTTCATGACTATCATAATTGCAGAATCACACTGAAGGCATCCAAATATGTAATTCTAACAGTCTATTCAGCAGGACTATCAGCTGTGTATCCTTCTGACTTCTGCACAACACAACCGATGGTCCCAACCCATTTATAAGGCAAGAAATCATGATTATTAAACCTGACAGGGGACACCTGTGAAGTGAAAACCAATTCCTCTGGAAACTCATCAAGAGAAAAGAGTGTGGGGAGCAGTAATCAAAGCAAAAGGTGGCTACTTTAAGAACCTGGAATATAAGACATTTTCAGTTGTTTCACACTTTTTTTTTGTTAAGTATATAGTTACACATGTGTTCATTCATAGTTTTGATGCCCTCAGTGTGAGTCTACAATTTTCATAGTCATGAAAATAAAGAAAACTCTTTGAATGAGAAGGTGTTTCCAAACTTTTGGTCTGTAGCCTACTGTATGTATATGTATATATTCAATATTTACAGGCAGAGAACAAGAAAACAAAAGCGGAACATAAAGTATATATATATAGTAATAGAGGGGGTATCACAATAGCCTTGCTACCGTGATTCCTCGTGACCGCTTCGGGAAATGGTTCAGGAAGCGTAAGAACTTTGACGGGCATTTAAACAGCCTCAGTGTTCAGTCAAGATGTGGGAGTTTGTTGGAGAGTTGGACAGAGTTTTGATAGATTCTAAGAATAGATTGGTTGAAAAAAAAAAACAACCAATCTAGTTGGTTAAAACTGTTTAAGTTACATCAAACAATGTAATTATCAAAATCTGAGCTAGCCGCCGGACACAGATGTAATTTTAATGTTAAGTTTTATTGCTGTCTGTCACCAATAGCCACCAGTGTTGGTGGAGTCAGCTGTAAGACATTCTTTCACTCCTGAGGTTGATGGTTAAAGACCTGCCTTAGGCTTTTGAAAGTTGCAACTTTACTTAAGTATTTTGGCTAATGCGACTATTGCTTTGCTTTGCTCTAGTAGAAATATAGATTCGGTAAAAACACTGCCACATTAGATTGGCTCGTTTAGCCAAAAGATTGGTTGAACACACAACTTCCAACCCGATTAAAACCAAAAACCATTGAAAAACTAATGTTTGAATAAAATGACAAACACCCTTTATTTTATAGCCAAAAGATTGGTTGAACAAACAACTTCCAATCCGATTAAAACCAAAAACCATTGAAAAACTAATGTTTGAATAAAATGACAAACCCTTTTGATTTTAATCATCTTTGTCCAATTTGCACAAACACTTTTACTGCCTGCTTGAGCTTATTTCATTAAAATGGCAGAAAAAAAAAAGTACCTTCAATAAGAAAATATTTTATTATACACACCNGTTGAAAAAAAAAAACAACCAATCTAGTTGGTTAAAACTGTTTAAGTTACATCAAACAATGTAATTATCAAAATCTGAGCTAGCCGCCGGACACAGATGTAATTTTAATGTTAAGTTTTATTGCTGTCTGTCACCAATAGCCACCAGTGTTGGTGGAGTCAGCTGTAAGACATTCTTTCACTCCTGAGGTTGATGGTTAAAGACCTGCCTTAGGCTTTTGAAAGTTGCAACTTTACTTAAGTATTTTGGCTAATGCGACTATTGCTTTGCTTTGCTCTAGTAGAAATATAGATTCGGTAAAAACACTGCCACATTAGATTGGCTCGTTTAGCCAAAAGATTGGTTGAACACACAACTTCCAACCCGATTAAAACCAAAAACCATTGAAAAACTAATGTTTGAATAAAATGACAAACACCCTTTATTTTATAGCCAAAAGATTGGTTGAACAAACAACTTCCAATCCGATTAAAACCAAAAACCATTGAAAAACTAATGTTTGAATAAAATGACAAACCCTTTTGATTTTAATCATCTTTGTCCAATTTGCACAAACACTTTTACTGCCTGCTTGAGCTTATTTCATTAAAATGGCAGAAAAAAAAAAGTACCTTCAATAAGAAAATATTTTATTATACACACCAATCATGAACAATTGCAAAGGAACTTGAATAGAAAAAAAATATATTGCAAAAAATCCCGGATTTTATTACTAACTGTAGTTCTCCGATCCACCAGTAGGTGGCGTCATGTTCACCTGAAGCTTCATGAATTGTGGGGATTATTGAAGCAATTTGACCAAAAGGTTCAATGAGGCTTTATCTCAGCATCACTAATATATGAACATTGATGCTTTTATTTTGAAAGGTAGTCTCAGGCGTTTTTACCGTAACTCTTGTTGTTCGCGTGAAGCGCGTGCGATGCTGGCTGAGTGACCGCGGTAAATTGACTTTATTAAAGCACGTGTTTAGGTAAGTTTGGCGGACACGTGGAAGAGCTCATTGTGTCTGATGGGGGGGAGGAGCCACCCCGCAGCAGCTCAGCTGTGGTACGCTCCGCGCTGGATGCGTTTGGCTCCACTGACCGGCGGATCATCATCCTCCTCCTCCTCATCCTCAGAACCACGCAGAGCCCCCGGATCTTCCCTCCGGTCCCCCCCTCCCTCCCTCCACGCAGCGAGCCGCAGCCTGCAGCCTGTCCGTCCTGATGAAGCAGAGTCTGGGCGAGCTGATGAGGATGAGCAGGATATGCCGGATGCTTTTTGCCACTTGTTTGGGATCCTTTATTCTGGTCATCTTCTATTTCCAAAGTATGTTCCAACCAGGTAGGAGCTTTTCCTTTTCTTTCTGCCACTTCCATGTGTTTACAGCAGACAGACAGACAGACAGACAGACAGACAGACAGTTGGCACCCTGACACGTAGAGGCTCCAACCTCCCTGCTGCCGGATCGTGGATCAGGCGTCCGGAGCGCAGTCTCTGTGCGCTTTGTTCCAGTGGGGACTGATGTGCTTCCTCTCATCAGTGGCACATGGGCATGGGTGCGCTGACAGGGGGACAAAGGGCTGATTGAGGGGGGGGCTTTGTCCTCTAAAAAGAAGGAATGAAATGTGATTTGGAGGAGGGAAGCGCTGCGGTTTGGACAGCGGCTCTGATCGGAGGAGCGCAGGCTGATCCCTGAGCAGAAACTCTCCAGGGAACATTTAGGATCATGTGTCTGTGATGAGAGAAGCTCCACACATCAAAGGGAACCTTCACCCCCCCACCCTCTAAGTTCTGACTTTGTTGGTTTGTTTTGTTTCAATGAGGAGATCTGCTTTGTTTCTCTGCTAAACATCGGGTTTTTGTGTAATCCACGCCCCTGCGTGGCAGAGCAGCGTGTCTGTGAGCTGAATGAAAGAAGGCTGTGCGCTCAGACGCGCAGAGGCGCACATCGAGGGTTCCCCTCTGCTTGACCGGATTTGAATTAAAGTGATTACAAATATATTTTAAGAGACTCTGATTGTGACCCAAGAGGATAAGGGCCACTGAGAAACTAACAAATATGTTAACTGTTTTTT